TGCATAATGACAACTCTCATCAGACACTTTGACATTTGTTTCGTTATATAAATCTGCTGCGCCTGCTTTTGTTTGGTAACGTACAAATACGTCAGGTAGAAGTGGGTGTACACCAACTCATTTTCAGTTAATCATTTGTGCCTCTTCCCAGGAACAGAGGACTTCATTTGTTTGCTGCAAAATGTATTCAAACAAGCTCTGATATATTTTTTTTATATGCTACAACTAAATACAACAAGTAGGAGTGTACTGCTTTATGTTTAAGGAGCAGTTCACATCCCTCTCACACTGGGCCTGCCTGCAGTATATAAGAGCAGACAGAGAAGCAGGTGTGGAGCACTGATGCCTTTTCTCCTTTCACTGTGAAGACTCGAGAGTGTTTCGGTGCTGGAGAGATAAAAACCTTCTCTAAAGTGCAGAGAGCGAGAGAGCAGAGTGGAGTGACTGAGCAGAAGGTAGGGGGCCGTGCTGATAGCCAACTCTCGAGAACACACACGTGCGCTCTCACACATACATAAAATCAATCTCCCATCGACCACACTCTCGAACCCCAGTCACCTCACCCACACGCGCATGCTCTCCACTTTTTTCTGGGGGGGGGGGTAAAGAAGAATGAAAACTCCATGTTCCACTAGAGTGGCCACACAAGATGAGTTCTGCAGCACTTCTGTGTCTCTCTCTGGGAAAGGGAGTGTATTTACCACTCTGCTCTGATTCAACATTAGGACAGTAGACGTGGCGCACGTTCCCAAGCTGACTGTAGAACGTGCGCAAACACACAAACGTACGCACACACAGTTCCCCAAATGTCTCTTGTCTCTCTCTAAACCAGAAAGTGTCTGAGCTTTTTCTCTCTCCCTCCCTCTCTGAGGTCTTCCTTTTCTTAACTGGACACTTTTTTTTTTCTTTCTTCTTTTTTTTTTTTATCACCTCGTGTTGTTATCGGTCACTCCTGCGGGGCCAATTTAAACGCGGCCTCTCCTTTTAATTTCGATAATATCTGAAGCCATTATGTGCTCACCGCCTGCCTGCTTGACTGCCGGAAATGTAACCCCACCGATCCCAAATCATCCATCTAGAACAAAAGAAAGATAATGAAGAAGCTGGGTCGGAGATGGTCTGAACCATTAAGGGGCAGGTTATGTGAATATCAGAGTGGAGCAGTGGAGGGAAACTAAGTGCCTGCACCTCAACAACGAATGGGTCATTTTGTTCTGCCCTCAGGAGGGAACTTAGACCATTTTCTTGGAACTAAAATGTCATAATAGCCAGTTCAGTTTTATGAGTGAGGTGCTAAATGGACATGTTTTAAGGGGAATTTTCTTTTCACTGCCGAGTGAAACTGAGCTAAGGTGAACTGTGCAATGGGAATAGTGGGAGGACACGGGCATCTGTCAAAGTCTAGGTTGTAAACAAGCCACCTTATTTGGTGTTCAAAGCTGTGACCGTAGCTAAAGTGCCTGTAAAAACCTCTTGAAAGTCGAAGCACAATATGTCAGTAATTAACTGGAGAACAGCACTGTGATGTCAGCAGCAGCGAAGTAGGAAGTAAGCGCCCGAAAGCCGACATTTGGAGGTGTCAGCATCCTGCAGATGTCAGGGACTTGCTGGTTACAGCTTCCTCCTGTTTGCAACAAAACATACCCCAAGCTCCAAAGTTGTACTTGGTGGTAACAAAATGCTCCCATGTGATGTAACTCCCATCCTTTAAAAAAAACAAAAACATAAGGGGCATAATCTGTGAGAGAAATAAAAACTTCTTTTGTGGCTTTCCTCCTGAGTGCCAGATAAGACTTGATTTGAATTGAACATGACGGCTTCACACAACGGTAGCCAATTCACTTACCCCGATGAAAACCCGCCATTCAAATCGAAAGAGTCAAACGAGGCTTCGCACAAAAGCACCAATTCAGCTGCCCGTATTTTCTTAAAGTTAAAAGCTTTCTCACTCCCTCACCTTTCTACCGCTATTCCTCCTTCCCTCCTTTGCCTCTCTCTTCCTCCGTCAGCACTGACAACTCCATAATCTCAGCCAAGTGGCCCGTCCAAGCCCTCTGTAGGGGCTGAATTTATTGAGAGCAGAGTGAGAATCAGAACCTGTCACCTGGCTTGCGCTGACCTCCTAACACACACGCTCTCTTCCTCTTTCACACTCACAGCGTATACCGTACCTGCTGTATGTACCTTCTAAGTGCAAACATCCTTGAATTCATTCAAACACACACATATGAATATTGATGAATGTTAGACTGTTGCTTACTCCTTGGCTGACCCTTCCATCCCACAGTAAAACACTTCTTTTAATTCTCTAGCCGTCTGCCCTTCTCAATTCTGTCTATAAGACATATGTGGGAGCTTTTAACAAGGATGTTGCAATAAATGCAAAAGTAAATAAACCGACCAGATGTTAGCTAGCTGTGTGGTTCGTCTACACTCACTCGACAGTGACTGCTTTCACTGCTATAAAAAATATGTTGCAAATCAGAAATAGCACGGGTAAGAAAGAAGGATGAATTTAAAAGATTGCTTTCTGATTTTCAAAGCTATTCATGTGTCACTCGGGACAAAACCAAATATTGTGAGTTTAAGATAATAAAAGCACCGATAACCTGCTGTTTAAGCTTTAAGGTCACCTTCATCAGTACCTGGCAGCTTGTTTAAAACAGATTCCCAGGGTTGGTTCTCTCAGCTCTCAACGTTTCTACCAATCAGAAGATTGTCAGAAAAAAATCGCATCAGAAAATAGCAAATTTGTCAATTTTCAACAGAACTGTAAACTCTGCTTTAAGTATACAATAATGGAACTGTAAATCAAACCATGTTGAATGGATGTTGGTGGAAGCCGGAGTTAATTAAATGAGTCATTTTTACTTTTGCATTGATTAAACTGATCACACCATAAATCACAGTGACACCGGTTGTGTTACAGAAGCACAAGTACATAACGTAGCAAGGCTAGAGCTAAGGATGCCATCTGCTGATTAAACACTACACACCTGCCTCCTTCACATCCAGTGACTGCATGAAAATGCTGACATAAATCAGGCTTTGCCATTAGTAATAATCACATTGGGCTCTCAGAATCACAGCCAACAGAGGAATGAAAAGGAAATTCCTTCCAGATGTGACGGGATAATAATAATAATAATAATAATAATAATAATGGATACTTTATTGATCCCCATGGGGAAATTACTTGTTTTTCTCTGCATTTGACCCATTCACTCAGTGAAGCAGTGGGCAGCCCACTAAGCAGGCGCCCGGGGAGCAGTGTGTAGGGACGGTACCTTGCTCAGGGGTACCTCAGGGTAGCCGTTAAGTGGATTCGAACCGCCGACCTTCCGATCATGGGGCGACCACTTTACCTACTGAGCTATCCCTGAGGAAGTCTGCTCTGGTGGCCAGCATGTAGTTATTACCAGCAATACTATCATTAGCATAATCATTACTATTATTTTTTACTTTATTTCTTTCCTTGTGACTGGCTGCTGTTTTGCTAAGGCCAATTATGGTGCTTCTGATGGCCTTAACCCTCCATAAACCATCATTAAACCACTTATGCTACTACTTTCTCCCTCTGGTTTTGAGCTTCTCTCGTAATCTGTTCACTCGTTCAATCACTAAAGTACTCTCTTACGTGCTCTTGTGTCGCACTCCCTGTCTTAATGTCTCGTTGCTCTTTCCTCTTAACATTATACCCTCCCTTTTTAAATGCTATTTTCCCTTTCCTCCACTGTACCCTGTGTTCCTCCTGTCCTCTCTCTGTCCTTTCTATCGCTTTATTTCCACTCTGCCAGTAGCGGGCCGCCACCAAGCTTGTTATTAGTGCCAGGTTCGAGCCTGCACTGTAATCAGACCCCTGGAATTAGCAGTAGGCCCACACTGGCAGAAAAGGCATGACGCTGACAAAACACTATAGTTATCATTGAGGCTGCTGCAATGTTGCAGCTTTGGCAGGAATCTGCTCCTTAGAGCCATGGATTTTGATGGGCTTTGGTAAAGAGAAGCAATGAGAGGTACAGCAGGAGTATTGGCACCCACTGGGGTTAGGGATAAAATACACACTGGATGGCTACCAATGGGAGCAGTAAGTGTCACACTTTTTTGTTTGTGAGGGTGCAGGTGGCGCTTAAGCCCTGGGAGCACAGCCATTTTGGAAAGACAATAGAATGGATGTAATGGGGACGTGTTTTATTATTGTGGGATAAAGATAGGATGGCAAAGCACGTAGTATTAGGACAGGGTGTAATAGAAATCCATTTACTTGACAATAACAAGCAATTTAGTGTCACTCAGAGACTTGCAGCTTTGTGTTTGTCAAATTAAGTGGCCGTGCTCGTCCTCTGGTGCAAACGTCATAAAATCACAAGTGCCGTTTCTGTCATTTGAACCAAAAATTCCAATCGCATTCGCCATGCTTTAAAATGTTAATTCACCTATGCTTGCCCACTTTCACCCTCATCTCTCATTGTGATGTACTGGAGAGTGTCAGTCTCAAATTGTTCAGTCCAAGAATTTGGATGTTTGGGGATCTTTTAAAAGGTACAGATCACGTGTATGTTAAAGACAACACTTCAGAGAAAGCTATCGAATTTTAGTGGTTTGTGGAGATCTCATAAATACATCAGATCAACAGTCAAACCTGCCCAAACTATTTTCTTCTGCAAAGTTGCATGACCATACCAAGAATTGAAATGTCAAAGGTCAAACTGACTTCTTTTCATCCCCGTTTCTACAGGTAGTTAAAGCTTACAATCACAGCCTTAAAATCTTCAGACAAGATGAGACAGAAAAAGCAGATCGTTGCACAAATGTCAGAGGGATTTCTGAAAATGAGTTACTTTGCAGAAAAAGCACAAGGAATTATCTCAGATCAATCTCCATTTGTTTTAGAGAGAACACTTTTCAGACTCACACAGGGATCGAGGTGAATTTCTAAAATGGTTAATTTCTGCAGCTGTCTCCAGGAAGGGTTAGCAGATAGATTGATGGTTACTTACAGCAGGCTCCCTTGCTCAGCACCTTGATGCGTCGCTGTGCGTTGCACTGGGCTTTCTCCAGCTCGCATTCATTGGTGTAGGTGGACGAATCTGAGCCGCACACAGGCGCCACAAAGGACGGGCAGTCCACCTTCTTGCAAACACACTCACCCTTGGACGGGTCATTTGGGTTGCGCTCGCAAACGGCGCCAAAGCCACACAGCATCCCTCTGCAGCCTGCCAGAGAGAACGACAAAGAGGAGAAGCTGTTAGGATATTTCATATGGATAACTCCGAATGTGAATATACATTTTCAGTCGAGTTAATACTGAAACACCCAACACCTAATGCACAGTTCAATTAAGCACTTTTAACAGAAGCCTGTATTTAAAAGCATCAGAGTACAAAGAGAAGTTTCTAGCATTTTAAGAAAATTCTATGATGCTTTCCCACAAAGTTCAAACTAAATCCTGGTAAAGGAAACAATTATTTGCAAACCATCTTAAGCTTAAAGAGAGCTCTGAAGGTGAAACCATTCAGAGTTTGGGGAAGACCTTTTAAAAAGCATGACAAAGTGTAATGGCATTGAAGCGTACCAGAACAACACTTTGACACGTTTGGGGAAAATAGAATATTTGCAGTTTACATATCCTGGTGATTTTATATTAATATTTTCACTTTTTTTGATCTAATGATTCCTAAAATGCTAAATTAGAGCCCATTTGAACAAAGTTAGGGTCAAAAGTCGTCATACTGATATCTATCTGTGCTGACTGATTCACAACATCAAACCATGTGTGGGAAACGTAAGAAAGGTTGCAGGTAGCTGCCAACGCAGAGCGATTTTTCTTGGTTTTAAACAGCAGCTAATGGAGACAAATTTAAAAAGGCTTTCATGAACTATTCATGCAGTCCAACATTTGCCAGCGCAGTTATAGTTGACTATTGTGTGTAATGTATAAAAACTTGCCAAAATAAAACCACTCATCACATAAACCAGCCAGCACAAACTCAACGGCGCGCTACAAAGAGGTAGGAGAAACATTCTCCAAACGCTGAATGACAGCGAGCTAATGAAACGCTGCAGGTTAGACCGCGCAGGGATAATGTTTGTGGTCGATCTAATTACGGGTGGGCTCACATCTCCCACCCACTTCAATAACGTTATAACAGCAGAAATAAAAAAGATCATCAAAACACTAACATACTGGGCAACTAGAGAAATAACAGCAACAGTGCGCGGTGATGATTTGGGTCTGTCCGGTTTTCATCAGCAGAGTGAACAGTTACAGCACTTTCTCACTGCTATACTGTGATGCAGTTCATTTAATTTTCCACAACTTGCAGACTTACATAACAGTGTGGGATTCCCATCGTTTTATATGAAATATTATCACAGGATTATACATACCAGCATGGTAAATATCTATGTAGGTAACCTAATAATATAACAACTATGCACATGGAAATGGACTACTGCATCAGTAGATCTGTTGTAAACATGCCATGTGTTAAAAGTTGGCTTATTACATTCCAGGCTTTTAACAGTTGATTTCACTACTCGTTTTGCCTGTAATCACTAAGATAATGCATCATCCATTAAAAAAAACCAAAAGACTACCAAGCAACAAGGTCAGCCAAACATCCTCATTAATGTAAATAAATCCTATGCTGGATATTATTGCCAGAAATTTCTCAGCTATGTTAGCAGCTCTCTGAGAAAGCTCTCAGAACTTTAGTCAGTACTGGCCCTGATGTTGTTCACGTCCAATTAAATTGTCTTTTCTCGCACTGATTCTTCGAGAACTTTTTATGAGTTAATGCAGATGAAGTTTATGTTTTAACACCAGGCAAATTTGTCTCAATACAGATTAGCTACTGGCATATTTGTAGAAACACAGTTCAGCAACGAGGATTAAATGGGATCGTGGCGTAAAGCAAACATATGCTCATATGCTCGATTCGTTCGGGGAGACTGTGCCCACCCGTGCAGAGCGAGCGCAGTATGTACATTTGCTGATTTTGAAGAAGTTTCAATGTTAGAATTTTCCCCCTCAATAAAGTCAGCAACAACATTAAAATCAATCGAGAGGCAGCAGGCTGATACCCGCAGTCTTGTGGACAGCTGATTTTCAACACCTCTGTGAGAAGACTGCAGTCTTTTTGAAACATCAATGATCCGCCATCCAGGAAAAACACACACGGGGTGGGGGCAACACGAAGACAAACCAAGGTTAGCCACACACTTCAAGGTCTCGCAAGTCAGGCAGCGATGGTAATACTTTGATCCTCAACCTCCCACTGACACCTCAGCTTTGATCAAATGTGAAGCAGCAAACTGTAAACTTTGTCAGAGGCCGCTGGATTCGCAAAGCAAACAGCAGACACGCACGTGGATACGTGGTCGTGTTATGTGTACACAACATCAACTTAGAGAGTAATTGACCCGTATTATGGCAGCTACAGCTGCTGTGGCTCTGTGCCCACTTAGAGGACTGTTGGGCATCCAGCTGGCGTGACGTCCTTGCCTCAGCACCAGGAGGGGGGGGTGGGGTGAGGGGCGTTAAGAGACATGGCAAACTCTCACAGGTAACCAACCGGATTGAAAATCGATGGACGAATGCACATAAAAATCCAAAATCCACTCTGAAAAAAGTCTACTTGGTTAGATAGGCGAGCAGCCAGTGTCACCGCTGAGTATATACATGTCACACACTCACACACACATGCACCCGCAGATAACTATTTCTTATCACTGGCTCCCAGGCTAGGACTAAACGAAAGGCGGCATGTCCGCTTGGGCTCACTGGCAGGTGGCTTTTTGTGGTACTAGAGAGACAGAGTCAGATAGGCAGACACACAAACGCACACAAGCACAAACTCTATGTGTGCAGCACAGACAACTGGTCCAGCATCTGCCCAAGGCATCTCATTCTGTCTCTCTCCCCACACCAAAGTACATTGTGTGAATGCGTCTATACGTGTGCATGTGTGAGCGCGCAGAGTGACAGGCGAGGAGGCTGTTTTTGACTGGCCCACTGTTCCCCGTGGGGGAGCGCCTGACAGCTACCTGAGCTCACTCTCTCTACCGGGAGGGGGGGGAAGCGAGTGTAAAGCCATCCATGAGTGCATCTGTATTTTTGACAGGGTGTGTGTTGGAGAGGTGTAGGCATTAGGTGTCTGTCTCCCTCTTTCTGGCTCTCTCGCTCGCACGTACGCGTGCATGTGGCCAGGTGCTAGCATGAAGGCATTGTCATGACTGGCCCGCTGCTCTGCCGTCACTTCTCACCACACACCCTGTGCTCCTCCTTCGTGTTTGTCTACGTGGGTGTCAGTGTGTGGCTCCGAGGCAAAACCATGCGAGCAGAGTGACAAGAGGTGAAATTCAATCGAGCTGTGTCAGATGTGTACAAGAGGAAGGTTGTCTGAGAGTATGACAGGGGAAGCGGAAAAAAACAAAACCCACCAGAGACCGAGATACCGGGTCGACAAAAAAGATCTCTCTATGATCTAAATGTATCAGCTGTGTTACAATATAGCTAACACTGGTATCATATGGTAAAAATATAAATAAAATGCTTTACTTATTTTTATTCTGAAAATACATAATAATCAGTTACAGTAAAAACATTTAAATGATTTTAAAAAAATCATGAATGCCAGCGCTGGAGTGTAAGGGGATCTGTTCTGCGATGCTTTCCTATAAGAAACTCTCACCGTAGCCTCAAGCTTAGCTCGCTGACAAAAGACTGACACTGGAGCTGAGGCCTCTGTCAAAACAGAGATACTAGCGCAGGCTCTGGAATGAGAGTAAAAGCTGCACGGTTATGTACTGGGAGCTGTTCCCTGGGAAAAATTGTCCCAGCACCTCATAACAGATACGTTTGACACTTCCAATTTCTTTAGCACAAAAGACAAAAAAATCCCTTGGCAGTTAATATGAACAGTATTATCTGCCACGGCTGAAAACAAAAACAACACGAACAAAAACTTCGCCAACATCATATTCCCACTGTGCCGCCCTCGACCTAGTTTGACTGGCGGGTGATCTATAGTAGTGCAGACACGATAGGAAGAAGCGAATGCAATCATCTACCAGAAGGCGATGTAAAACTCTCTCTCCTGGAAGCACACACAGAAGCAAAGTGTTTGAAGTGCTGCTACTATATGTGGGTGCTAAATGAACAGTTAACAAAGCCCAGTAACTTTCCGACTTTGCGTCTCACACATAACTACTAGTTTTTCTGTATTACTGAAACATCAGGTGAAAGGAAGAGGATGCTGCGGTCAGGGTGAGTTGGTCTGAACTCGAACTTTATTCAATTAATGCTTACAGCCAAACATTTTTCTAACTTCCAGATCTCTATGTGTCCTGTCACCGCTGCCACAGCGATGTCTCTCGGCTCATTTCTAACAATTCAAATGAGCCAATAAAGATCAGTGATTTTAAAGATGGATTATTTATTAGACTGCACTGATTTTTTGGTGTTGATTGTGCCTCACAATATTAAAAATTGAGCAAAGTGCTCCAGCATTAACAGGGTGTTACTCTCATTAATGTTAGAAACTCTGATAAAGCCGCTTACTGCAAGAACAACAAAGCTGTGACACTGACTAAAAGGTCTTCTCTTAGTCGAGTAGTGAATCCATGTCATGTGTAGGCCGACAGCAAAGCCTGCTCTTGCGGTAAAAATGTTTATTTGTAATTAATAAGGAACGGACTGCTGGTACTAAACACCAACAATCATTAAGGCTATGTTTTGTTTTGCTTTTGGGTAATAACTGTAATATGAAATAGAAAATGCTGTAACGTTTTGCACCTAGCTGCACTGGTTCCAGCTTTCAGACTTGGTCAACAACCCTCTAGAGCTGTTTTAAGTGCTGGGGAAGGTGCATGCTTTTGTGTACAAAATTGCAAAAGCCCACTCAGGCTTATGCCATTTTCACTATAAATGTAAGCTTTTCGATTCTTGGTGCAAATGTCTTTGTGAGTGCAATGAGTGTGAATATGTGTATGTGTGAATGCTCATTGGTCCATGTAAGTGTGTAAGGTAATCTCCCTTCAAGCCCCGCAGCGTTAAAAGCTTCACTTCCATGCTGTTTTCTTTGCTACCGGAGGCAAGGGGAAGAAAATCCCATTGGGAAGAAAAGACAGCATGTCCAGTTTGTGACTGTCGAGGCAAGTGTCTAGTCCAGGTAACATGTCATCCCTGCGTTTGGACGACTCACCCATTAAA